TGCGATAAAAATCATGTATCAGAGTACATGTGTAAGACAATTTTGTCTGTGGATCAAATCAAAATTAATTTACAAAAGCACATTTCATAAGATCAAAAAGGAATTTCCTTTCAGTCCAAAGTAAAAAATGTCAATTTTTATATTTTAATTGGATGTAATACGTCTTTTTGATCTTATGAAATGTGCTTCTATAAAGCAATTTTGATTTGATTGACCGACAAAAATGTTTTATACATGAAATCTTTTACGGATTTTCATTGTACATGTAATTATTTGGTCAGTCGACCGACCAACATGTTTTACAGGAAATTAAGAAAAGAATTTTTTATCCTTTTTTTTGTTAAATATTAATAAATGAATATTAAATAAATATTTTACACATAAATTCTTGTACAGGATTTTTTTTGTTCTGTCAAAAGTATAAAATGATTTAATTTTAATTTAATTTTTATATTTTCATTGGATGTAAAATTTTCTCTCTTTTTTTTTGATCTTATGATATGTGCTTTTGTAAACCAATTTTGATTTGATCGACTGACAAATATGTCTACTACATGATTTTTATTGTAATTTTTTTGTCTGCCGACCAAACAAATATCTTACATAGCAACTTTGAACAGGATTTTTCATCCCAAATTTATGTTCAGTCGACCGAAAAAATATCTTACACTGGAATTCTTGAATAGAATTGTTTATCATACCTTTTTTGTTTGGTAGACGAAACAAATATCTTTCACAGGAATTCTTGAACATGATTTTTTATGAATGTTTTGTTCAGACAAAAGAATATTTTTTTTTAATATTTTCATTGGATGTTATATGTCTTTTTGATATGATGAAATTTGCTTTTATAAAGCATAATTTTTTTTGATTTATCGACCGACAAAAGTGTCTTATACGGGAACTCTTATACCGGATTTGTATCGTAGTTTTGTTTCGTCAACCAAATGAATATCTTATACAGAAATTCTCATCCTGATTTGTTTTGTTTGCTCGACAACATAAATATCTTACACAGAAATTCTTGAAAAAGATTTTTATAATCTTTTTTGTTCTGTCAAAAGAATAAAATGTCAATTTTTATATTTTCATCGGATGTAACATTTTCTTTTTGATGTTTTGAAATTTTCTTTTGTAAAGCAATTCTGATACGATCGCCCGACAAAAATGTCTTACATTGCAATGTCTTACATTGCCGAAAAAATATCTTACATAGCAATTTTTGAACAGGGTTTTCCCTCCTAAATATTTTGTTTGGTAGACCAAACAAACATCTTACACAGGAATTATTTCTTGAACAGAATTTTTAATCGTAATTTCGTTGATCAGTCAACCGAACAAATAACCTACACAGGAATTCTTGAACAGGAATTTTATGATTTTTTTTTGTTCAAACAAAAGAATATAATGTCATTTTATTATTTTTTATTGGATGTAACATGTCTTTAAGATCGAATGAAATTTTTCATTGTAAAGCAATTTTGTTTTGATTGACCACAAAATGTCTTATACTGGATTTTTTCATCGTATATTTTTGTTCGGGCAACCGATCAAATATCTAATACAGGAATTCTTGAACAGGATTTTTATTGATTTTTTTTGTTTGGTTGAACAAACTTATATCTTACACATGTATTCTTTTTGTTTGCTCAAAAGAATAAAATGTAAACTTTTATATTTTCACAAAAATGTCTTATATAGGAAGTCTTGAACAATATTTCTTAAAGTGACATTATGCCCATCCATGGGTGGATATAGAGTGAACAGGTGAAAGTCAAAATAAGTAAATATTTTCTCATAATTCCTTTCAATTTTATAAGTACTTCACGTGAACGATAAATAACTCACTAGGCCCTGTGAAATGTGTGTAATTATACGTCGGAATGTAACTGTAATCTTCAATTTATAAAAAGAGTGGGACAGTCTTTTAATATATTTAGGTAGATTTATTTTTTACCCTAAACATTTTCAAATATCATGTGTTGGTCAATCACCATTATAACGACAGTTTATTGAAATATATAGTCAATTATAGTCAATTTGACTATGAAACAAGAACGTGTTTGTTAAACAAAAATGCCCCCGGCTCAGATTCTTGTCAGTAGCAATATTTCAAAAAATATTTACCCATTCACTAAGTAATGGACAGAAAAAATTGCCAAAAAATTGTAAACACAAGTTATATAGCTGACAAAGTCATGGCATTTTGTAATTGTGAAAATATAAGTTGCCAAGTCATTGCTCTGACTTGTGAAGTTGAAAAAATATTCAACTTCGTGCAAGTTTTTCCTACCAAATATGAAATACATCTGTCATTAAATAAAGGCTGTATGGGCAAAAGTGTAAATATCTATTTTGAGCACTGGTGACCTTAACCAAACTGACCCCTAACTCTATCCAAAAGAAGAATACAATGTAAGTTATCTTCCTACCAAAATATGAAATACATCTGTCAATAAATAAGGCTGTATAGGCAAAAGTGTAAAAAACTATTTTTAGCACTGGGGACCTTAACCAAACTGACCCTAACTCTATCCAAAAGAAGAATACCATGTAAGTAATCTTCCTACCAAATATGAAATACATCTGTCAATAAATAAAGCTGTATTGGCAAAAGTGTAAAAATCTATTTTTAGCACTGGTGACCTTGACCCAACTGACCCCTTACTCAATCAAAAGAAAGAATACCATGCAAGTTTATCTTCCTACCAAATATGAAATACATCTGTCAATAAATAAAAGCTGTATGGGCAAAAGTGTTAAAATCTATTTTTAGCACAAGTGACCCCAATCAAAACGATGAATACCATGCAAGTTATCTTTCTTACAAATATTTAAATATATCTGTCACTTTAATAAAGGCTGTATGAGCAAATGTGTAAAAATCTATTTTAGCACTGGTGACCTTGACCCAACTGACCACTAACTCCATCAAAGTTTATGTTTCCATCAATTATAAATAACACCTGTCTATAGAATAAGGTCAATACACCTGTAAAAATGTACAATCTATTTTTAACATTGGTGACCTTGACATTGTGAACATTGACCTTGACCCAAATGACCACATACTACACCCAAAGAAGGAGGATTGTATTTAACTAAGACATCACATAAAATATAAAGGCTGTATGAGCAAAAATGTTTATTATTATATATTTTAAACCAATGACCTTGACCTTGACCCTAGAGACCGCTTACTCCACAAAAAATTAGAGGACCATCAAAGGTATCCAAAGGTACTAAATATGAAAGATATCATTAAAGAAATTAAGCAATTAGGGAAATTAAAGATAAATCCAACTTGCCAAAATAGGTTACCCAGACAAGGCCCTATTTTCAAAGTGAAAAAAAAGGGAAATAACTGGGAAATATGGATGACACAGTTATATAACTTGGCAATATCATGTACTTTGTATTGATAAGTAAGTGTGGAAATTATAAAGCCATTAGTAAAGATAGAACTTAAGATATTTCTTACTTGCCGTTTTAGGTTAACCATTATTCATTTTCTAAGTGCTGAAAAGGGCAATAACTTGGTAAATATGAAAGCCAGAGTTATGTAACTTGCCCAGATCATATACTTTGTATTGATTAGTAAGTGTGTAAACTTAGAAGCCATTGGTACAGGTAGAATTAAAGAAAAATCCAACTTGCCGTTCTAGGTTAACCTCGTACCGACAGACGGACAGACGGAAAGAAGGACGGACGGACGGTTCAATCACTATATGCCAGGGGGCATAAAAATGAGCATAATGTCACTTTTATAGTTTTTTCTGTTCGGTTGACCGAACAAAATTTACAAAAAAAATTATGTTTTCATTAGATCAAGGACCAAAATCATTTTTGTCATAGATTGGATGTAACATGATTGAACCTTTCCTTGTTGATCTTGTTTATCATATTTTTTCAAACTCATGAAATGTGTTTTGTATAAAAGATTTGTCCGATTGATAAAACAAAACGTATTTTACAGTAGTTCTTATACAGAAAATTTGTTGGGTTTTTGTTTGTTTGGTTTAGCAATTTTATTTCAAAACATGTAAATTAACATAGTTTCCTTCGTCATGCATATTAAAAATATGCAACAACTGTGGTGCTCGTGTGATTTCTCTGTGAATGTTAACCTGTGTGTGAAGTTAAATTAAACAAGAACACCTCACAGTAACAAAATAAATAAAAATAATAAATAATCAGACGTTTTCATTTTAAAATTTTAAAATGTCTGAAACTGAATATTAATTTATATAAAAGTTTTGAATTTTAAACTTCCTGTCAATTTTTGAAACAAAAAAAATGGGGAAATTTCCCCTTATTTTTCCCCATTACCGTAAAGAATTTTCATTCAGAAAGGGGGATTTTCCCCTTTTTAATTGGGGAATTTCTCCATTTCCTTAATTGGTTAGTTCCGCTAAAGGGAGAATTGCAAATTTCTTTAAAATATGTTCCTTAAATACTTATAAGTTCATCATAAGTATATAATTATCAATACATGTTAAAATTTAAAGAGAAACAATTTCTTTTACTCCAACGAATATTTAATCCCATTTAAGGAAACTGGGAAAATGGACAAATCCCATAGGATGCCACACTTTGAATACTTGCCCGGCACTTAATTTTTGTGCCATCTTTGTATAAACTGCCAATTATCATCTATTTCCATCCATATTACTGTTTCATTTACATTTTTGTATTGATTTTTTATTAAAAAGGGTAGCTGAGTTTGCAAAAAATACGGATTTGCAACTTATTCCGGAGACTGTTGGTGCCTATCAAGTGAGTCCCCTAGATTTCTATCTACACGTAAATTTTTACCAAGCCACGTCCCTGTCTAATGCAACTTATATTCTACACAGCAACTTCTCTGATATTCTACTACTAACATGTAACTCAAGCAACAAACAAATAATATTATACACCTGGTGTTTTGGAAAAGATGCAAATAATCTTTTACATAGTGACTTTTTACATTGTATTTTCAAAAGTGTAAGTTAATTTACCTGATGGACAAATGATTAGATTGGGTTGTCCTTCTTTGTATCCAGGAGGTAGAGATCTACATACCTCACTTGTTTCTTTATTATAGAAAATAATAAAAAAATACTATCCTTTAAAATTTACAAATAAAATGTTGGTACAAAATATTTATTTTTGTATAACCAGTGTTTATGTCAAATCAATAGACACATAGATACATAGAATTAACAGAATAAATATATCATGTTAATTTTAAGACTTTAAAATATTTCTCCAAATCTTTTCCATGTACATTTAAACAGAAAATATTTATCAATTCAAAGAGTAATGTCATCTGTCTTTTTAACAATTCCATATCGAGGTTCTTTTTAATTTATCACAATAGCACATAAAAATCCTTTGAAATTTAATGCACACTGGAGATCCATTTTTAACAATAAACACAAGCTAAATTCAAACAACAAATAAATCGTACCTTTCATTGAGAGATATTTTAAAATAAGACCAAGATGTTCTAGACTAAGATAATCTCTTATATTGGAAGAAATTGATTCCAAGAACTTGTTCCATAACTCCTCTAAGTCATTTATCAAAGGTTCTGATCCAAAAGTTCTGAAATACAGATGAAACTGTAAAAGCACCGTATCCTACTACATAGGCCTGAATGTAACGGTTACACTGTGAAAGTAAAAAGTTATTGCGTTCGTTTTAACATATGATAATTAAATTCTTCATTATCATGTCATTTATATTTGAACACATTATTTATACATAAAGCATTTTTCATTTAAACACATAAATATTTCGATTAAAAATTGATATTTTATTTAAAAAATTGTTATTTGATTAAATTCTGTCAAAGAAGTGCGATTTTCTTTAAAAAAGTGATTTTGTTAAAATATCAATGTTGTATTGGTTAAACAAAATAAAATATCAGTGAAATAAAAACAGTAAGTGCATATTTTATCACTTTTGGTGCTTCTTACTTTTGTTTTCCCAATCCAGATATGTTTGTTGTAATCATAGATTGTATGTCAGTCTTAGATTGGCTCCAGCCAGTGAAAGTTGGTCTCTGTGAAAGATGTTTTCTAACTGGTTTATTTTTTTCTTGCATTGGTTGATCATCATCTTCAGATGTGTCCGTTTCTTCATGATCCATGCACCAAACTATTCCTAGAGTTAAAGAAAAGAAACATAAGAATATTGAAAGTTATACTTGTACGTTATTTATTTACGACTGTGTTGATTCTTATTAAATAATTCCACTTAAACAAGTCCTTGTGCATATTTTAAATTCAATTTTGTTCTGAAAGCTTGTAAATAAATAATTGATATATCTATCATTTTTTATGCAAATTATAAGAAAGAAATAGCAGTTGACATGACCTGAAAAATATTAACAAAATCAACTCGCTGTTATTCATAATAGTTTTATGTAATGACAGGTCAACTTTTCTATAAATGGAAGAACTTTAATATTTTTAACAGATCATTAAGATGCTTATAGATAAGCTTAATTCTAAACCTGCAGTCACATCGTCGGGGTCCACAAAATCCAAAGCTTTAATAGCAAGTGTCTGCTCGTAGCCAGCCTGAATAAGCTCTTGTACAAAGTTCTGTTTCTTCTCATCTTCAGTAGAATCTGTCAAAGTGTTTGCTTCCTCTTGGTCCCGTTCCTCCTCTGCCTCCATCACAGCGCCCCGCTCAATTTCTTCTTTAGCAGAAGTCATTGAATCCAACAGATCATCTAATTATTAATTAAGTGAATTGAATAAAATGCCTGATTACAAACTGAGATAAGTTATAATACAATCAAGACTAAAACATATGCACATGCTTTCCTACTTAAATTGCTGATTAAGACAAAAGCTCTCCGTATGACATCGTGCTCGACTATTCTCAGTGCTTGACAGTAAGAAAAGGGGTATAACTCAACCAGAGTTTTGGATCTGTGCCCCTCATGTCAGATAATCACAGAGCACAAATGGTGAAGATTCAACCTATTACCTTCAGTAGTTTTGACAATATTCTATTCTATTCAAAACAAATAAAAAATTCAGCTCTTTAACTGAAAACATAAAATAAGAGACACTTGTTTCATTTGGTAAGCATAATTATAAAATATCTTCACAAAATATCGTAGATTTAAACTAGTTTACAAGAGTGAATTTGTTGGAAATACTGTTAAAAAAGTTCTAAGAATATATGAAGGTGGTGTACATAAACCATTTGCTTTTCAGCATATCCAAAGCATAACAGAAATCAGAAAAACAAAATGAGCACATAAAAACTAATGAAACTAAACCACAGACGTTAAGCTTGCACAAACAGCTCAATGTGTAACACTTCTGTAAATCTATAGACCTAGGCTTCGAACGTTACAGGTATATTTGGTCACAAGCATTTTTTTTTTAAATCTCTCACGCTATTTTGTTAGATTTATTAGAGAACTTATTAGTTATTTGCTAAGTAACAGACCAGAGTTAGTAGGGAATGATAATTTGGTAAATGTCAGACAATAAACATCGATTTTTCTATCAGTATTTATCTTGACAAATAAAGAAAAGTTATAAAAATATAAAATAACCTGGTGTACAATTTTCTTTAACAGCAGAGAGGAGTGGGTAGATAAGATGAGAAGGCTCTAAATCTGATCCCATTTTGACAAGCTCTCGTTGTAGAATGACCAACTGGTCTACAGTGAAATAATTCAAATGAAGATGATTCTTTCTTTTTTCTTTGATATACTTCAACCATTCCTCTAAACATGTCTCCATAAAATTTGCTAACTCTGGTATTATGTCTTGCAGACCTTCGGTATCAGTTTTTTTCCCCTACAAAAATGTCATTTTATAACTGTTAATATCAACTTTCTTGTTTTAATTACATTTTTTGACGATTCTATATGCCATATTTGTGGCAAAAGTAAGCACTTCAGTAGTAGAAAATCAAACTGAAAACACAGAATAGTTTTCTCATTGCAAAGAATTCACATTGTTGCATGATATTCACATTCACAGCACTAAGGGGTATATAATTTTAGCTCAGTAATTTTTAAACTTGGCTTCTAAGATTTGTTTTTTTTTGTAATCATATCTAATTAATATAATCAGTTTCTGTGAACAATTAAGGAAAACAATGCATTCTCTCCTTCAATGCTTTATATGCACTGTTACATAAATCGATAATGAAAGCAGATACAGACTTAAATAATATCCCAATAAGTGAAACTAACCTTCAACTGGGGTGCACCATCACCTTGTCCAAACTCTAGAATAGCACAAACTGGTCGTTCAGGTCGAGGGTCACAGAAAAACCTGCTTCTCCAGTCTTTAAAAAGTACACATCCAGAGGAACTAAGTTTCATGTATACACTACTTAGTCTAGTTATACTGTCAAATATCTAAAAGACAAATTATCATCATTCAATAAAATCTGTTTTGATTTTTAAAACTTATTTGGTAAAAAGGACTGGATGGCTCAGCTAAACTTTGCTAGAAATGGTAAAAGCCAGTGATGAGGTCACACTGGCTTCCTCATGTTTTTTCAAGGCTAAAAAGAATATAAAATAAGCAACCCAAAGAGCAACTGGTTACTATCTAAGGTAATTGTCATTGTTATTTCACGAGGGAAGACTGTATTTTCCTATTTAAGTCTTAATATGCTATGTAACCCTCTGGTCTTGGCAAATTTTCACCCACGAGGCATGATTTATATAAGTTTTGTAGAAGACCCTAGGTGATTTTACAAGCAAATTATCTCAATCTTGGCTTTGTTTTTCGCAATATTTTTACTACAAGTCTAAGACAAATATGTGACAAACTGGACAATGTCATTTTTGACCAAAGGATATGACTTATATAAATTTTGTAGAGGTCTACGTGGCAATCTAAGCTCTTGGCATTGTAGTTACACAAAAGACTCAAAAGTATTTTACTATTCAAGTCTATATAGACTATTGGACCCCAGTTTGGGGTCAATTAATTTGATTTTGCTGTCAACCACAAAGTGTTGCTATATGCCAAATATCTGAGCTCTAGGCATATTAATTTCTTAAGTAAAGTATTCTAATTTATTTTATTATAAAAGTCTATATTAATTATTTCTTGACCCGCGGCGCAAAATTTATATAAAATTGGGAAAAACAGAATTTCTAAAGAACATCCAAAACGACATCATTGAAAATGTTGCAGACTCGGTTGAATTGAGTCTGTTCATGAATGGTACTGTAGAGTGCAAGTTACCGTCCATGCCACCTAGCACATGGACTAAGTTCTAGGCATAACCGTTTAATAAAAGAATATTTAAATGAAATTTTCTTTAAATCTTAAGTAAACTAAATCATTTTTTACCCCTTGGACATGATTCATGTGACTTTTATTGATAACTAATGTGATGATACATGTCAAATATTTAGGCTCTGGGTATTGTTGTTTCTGAAAGGAAATGTTTTAAAGATTTCAGTTATATTTAAGTCTTTCTTGGCTCCTGTGACCTACTTAGGTATCAGACTGGAATCATTTTTTAACTTTTGTAGAGGACCATCTAAGAATTATTAATTTCTTTGGTTAAAATCTATAAAGTTGTCTAGGAGGCGAAGTTGTTTAAAGAAATTTCGGGACAACGAAGGAGGATGAAGGACGGAAACACACAGACATCTCATAAGTTCACTTTGTGCCCAGATGTGCTTAAAACAAATGAAAACAATGTCAAGATTAGGTTTTTAACTCAAAGCACGGATACAACAAATCATTGTACTCACTTCAAATCTATTCATTTGTACTCCCTTTTATACATTCTGTTACTGTAACAAATATTTCAATGCACTGAGACCTTTTCCCTCACACAATAATGATACACATTATCCTTATCATGATGTTAACATAACATGTTTCTAAAATTACACTTGCCATGGTGAATCTGTCAACACTATCAGAACCCTTCTCTGCCTTGCCTGCCACCAACATAAGTCGGCTCTGTAAATCTTGAAGCTGGGTGAAGTTGTAATTTTTCAACTCTCTTTTCCCTTCTTGTTCTGGCACAGTCAACTTCAGAATATCTGACATTTCCTAAAATTCAAACTTAATTATCAGAATCCTAAAAATTCATATTTCTAACAATTACAAAATGTTTTGCAAGAATGCCAGTGCAGCAAATAATATTTCCAACGTAGTAAAACTTACCATAATTGCACCATCAATCTGTTGTGTCTGCGTCTCTTTCTTCCATGTATTTTTACCGAGTGTAAATATTCCATTAGCATTAATAGCTTCAACTTGCATAAGGGATGTTACCTCTACCGAGCCATGGGCTTGTTTGATTGCTTTAAGCCACTCAAGCTGACCTGTAGTGTCTAGCTGTAAAGGAATATAAAAGGCTAAATTCTTTTATTAGAGATATAAAACACAGGGCAATAAAATGGTAAAATTTCCAAAATGATTTTGAAAAGGATCTCAATGTTAAATGATAAAAAATGCTCATTGTTATAACTAATTCTTTGAGAATAAGAAACAACTTATTTAACAGATTTATCATGTCATTATAAGTACATTGTTCATGTTTTAGCAGATATTGATTTAATCATTCTTTACATACTTATCATGAATGTGATTAAGCTGATTTCTGGTTAACATCTTAGATAGGCTAATTACGGAACATCTAAGATTCACAAAATTGGTCTTTAACATCAAAATGAATAAAACAACAAACAATTTCACAATAAACAAAATTAATTCATGTTTATTGCTTAAAAATACCAATTTCTTTGGGAGTTCAGGATTTGCTTCAAGTTCTTTCCAAACAACATCACAAAGATTCAAGAGTTCCTTGTAACCACAATCCTCATCCAGATCAAATATAAGTGGGGCATATCCTGTCACAGCTGAGTGGAGACATTGAACGCGAGCAATGTTAATTGGTTCATCACCAGCTGACATAAATGCAAGGTCAACAAATACTTTCAGCTCTTTTAATCCAGCTAAAATAAAATGTTTTTGTTTAACTTATTTTGATATAAACCTAACCATATACATGTACATATACCAACATTATATTAAGTATTCATTCCTGACAAATCGTTTGGAGTTTCTTTAATTGAAAATTTTTTTAAAACACATCAAGATAATATTGTACAAGAATCTAAATAAAACTGGGCCATTCCATTTCTAAATTCACTATCACAGGAAAATCATTTTTAAAGTTCTGGTATGTTTTATCAAAGATACAAAGCTTGTAATGTCAATGTCATGCATAGAAGCAAATTGACTATCAGATTTTAACATCAACTTATTTTAGCTTACAATATTGTTCTTGACAGATTCAACAACATGCGAAAAAAGATATCAATGAGTTTACACAAGTTAAACAAGAGCACCGCTAGGCGGAGCATTATATGCCCAAAAGTACTTTTTCTTTTAGTAAGGATGGAGCATTTGTAAGACATGGGAATTAAATACAGTATTACCTCCTTCAAAAAGAACAGAAGAACATTCATGTATATATACAGTTGCTGTTTTTAAAGCACCGCAGTCAAGTTGTTATCTTGTTAGTAAAAATGTTACAACGGATGGACAAAAAGACGTCAGGGGTATAAAGCTGTTAATCCTATAAAATTTACAGCTGTAGGTTGATTAATGCTTGTGTTATTGAGAGAAAATTGTTTCCAGATTATAGGTGATAGTAACCTTGATCTTTGACCTTGTGACCCTAAAATCTATAGGCGTCTTCTACCAAATATGGACAATTATCCTATGAAGTTTGAATACTGTGGGCCAAATGGAACTTAAGTAATGATCCGGAAACCATTTTCAGTATTAAGCTAATAGTGACCTTGACCTTTGACCTTATGACCCTTAAATCAATAGGGGTCTTCTACCCAATATGGGCAACCATCCTATGAAGTTTGAATACTGTGGGCCAAATGGAATTTAAGTTATGCTGCGGAAACCATTTTCAGTTTAACGGTAATAGTTACCTTGACCAATTACCGTGTGACCGAAAAATCAATAGGGGTCTTCTAACCAACATGGACAATCATCCTATGAACTTTCAATACCATGGACCAAATAGAATTTAAGTTATGCTGCGGAAACCATTTTCAGTTTAAGGGTAATAGTAACCTTGACCTTTGACTTTGTGACCCCAAAATCAATAGGCGTCTTTTACTCAATATGGACAATCATCCTATGAAGTTTGAAAACTGTGGGCCAAATAGAACTTAAGTTATGTTCCGGAAACCATTTTCAGTATCAAGCTGAAAGTGACCTTGACCTTTGACCCCAAAATCAATAGGGGTCTTTTACCCAAATGGACAATCATCCTATGAAGTTTGAATACAGTGGGCCAAATGGAACTAAGGTTATGTTCCGGAAACCATTTTTAGTATTTAGCTAATAGTGACCTTGACCTCTGACCTTGTGACCCCAAAATCAATAAGGGTCTCACCCAATATGGACAATCAGTCTATGAAGTTTGAAAACTGTGAGCCAAATGGAACTTAAGTTATGCTCCAGAAACCATTTTCAGTATTAAGCTAAAAGTGACCTTGACCTTTGACCCCAAAATCAATAGGGGTCTTCTACCCAATATGGACAATCATCCTATGCGTTTGAAAACTGTGGGCCAAATGGAACTTAAGTTATGCTTCGGAAACCATTTTCAGTTTTAGGGTAATAGTGACCTTGACCTTTGACCTTGTGGCACCAAAATCAATAGTGTTCTTCTACCCTATATGGCAATCATCCTTTGAAGTTTGAATTGCAGGGGCCAAATGGAACTTAATTTATGCTCCGGAAACCAAATTGCTAACGGACGGAAGGACGTTCCTACAAATGGTCATTTATTGGGTACTACTTTTGTTTAAAAGTACCAAATAAGAGAACAATACTGACGGAATGAATAGAATTATCCAACAAGTGTTCTCTCGTGTGTTGAAGGAACCCAACAAGTGTCCTCTCGTTCGCCTGGAAAGATGGACAGACGGACGGGCAAGGGTAAATCTAACCCCCCCCCCCCCCTAAAGTGGAGGCACAAAAAATCTATTAACAAATGAATTCGGAGTTCAAAAATTAAATGCAGATAATTCTGGGAATACAGGAGCTTGCGTTTTATAAATCTTACCCATATAACAAGAAGTTATAGCAATAAAATAATATTTGTTAACATAAATTCCAAGTTCAAGGGGGAATAATTCTGGAAATAGTCACGCAAGAGCTATGAACCTTGTCACACAGCGTGTGTGTAATGATAGGAAATATATATTTGAAGTTTGAAGTAGATAACCTAAAAAGTAAACAAGTTAAAATATTTCTTAACCTTTTACCCCATGAGCATATTGCGAAAAATGGCCGTTTTCATTGAAAAGCCTCCTGTAACAAGTTCAAACTGCTATGAAACTATGAAAAAAACTTCAATACTAATGAAACTTGGCACAAATGTTGACTACACCATAGCCTCTGTAACAGCATGCTCAATGGTAAATTTCCTGTTACCATGGCAAGGGGGGGGGACGTCTCAAAATTGCCAAAAATCACTATTTTGCATTGTTTTTTTCCATCAAAACTGATTTCAAAGTGCTGCAACTTCTCAAAGAAATGAGATAGAGTAAAAGGCTATTCAGCGTCGGTTACTAGTTACCCTAAGATCGACCTGGGCCATTTTAGCCTGTCACATGTCCAAAATTTTCTTGGCGATGAGGGGGACTCCGCCCCCTTTCAAACCCCCCAAACAGAAGGGGGCACATCCCCCTTCTGGCAACCCCCTGATGTAATATTTGGATGGGGGACGGCGCCGAAAAAGTGGTCACTTTTTTTAACAACATTTCTCAAACGAAAAACAGTGTTTGAGGCCTAAATAGGACATTGTTTCACTGTTTGAGGCCTCAAAAAAGGGGGGGGGCAAAAAGCCGTCGAAACACGGGAAAAGGTTAATGTTCAAAGGAAGATAAATCTGAAAATATTGCTTATTGTTATGAACCTTGTCACATAAGATGACCATGTAATTGATGATAAGGAATATGTATGTGAAGTTTGAGGAAGACACATTTAAAACTAAAGAAGTTATGGTAAAAGATAACATTTTTCAAGTAAAAAATCTAAGTTCATGAACATATATTTGGAGTATGAAGTTGATCCGTTTGATGTAAAAGTAAAAAAATATATTTTTTAAGAAAAAGTTCAAGGGGAGATAAATTGGAAAATATTGGTTATTAGAGTTTTGAACCTTGTGACATAAGATGTGGTTGATACCTTCAGAAATAAAGAAGTAACAGTACAGAAAAAGAAATGTCGAACAACACATATGCCCCCCTTTCTAGCCCTTGACTCACATTATTTGTTTTTTTTTATATAGAAACTTGCCAATTGGTACATGGAAGTGTTCAATTATGGAAAAAAGAAAAACTGGCCCTGAGTCGCTCACCAGAAACAACTGCTTTTCAGTGTTGGAATGTCAATATATTCTTATATTAAATTTGAGCATAGAAAATGTTTAAACAAAAATTTGAAGAAATACCATGACCTGGGGCATTTAAGTAAGCTTTAGCTTAAACGGGGCTAATCAAATTAATATGAGCAAACTTAATAAAAGACTACCTGGCATTTAAGTAAGCTTTAGCTTAAACGGGGCTAATCAAATTAATATGAGCAAACTTAATAAAAGACTACCTAAGAATGCTACAAAGTTTGGTGATCATCTCTCAATTATTTCAGTAGGAAATGATGTTCGAAGATTTTTCTATTTTTAGCTTTAGTGGCGCCTAAAAGGGGCTTATCAAATTAAAATAAGCAAACTTGATAAAAAGAGTACACAAGAATGCTACAAAGTATGGTGATCATCCATCAATTGCTTTTGAAGTAGACGATGTTTAAAGGTTTTTCTATTTCAAGCTTTAGGGGCCCCTAAAAGCGGCCAATCAAATTAATATGAGCAAATTTGATAAAAGATTACCCAAAATGCTATAGACAAAGCTTGGTGTTCATCCATCAATAAGTTCTGTAGGAGAAGATGTTTAAACGTATTTCTATTTTTAATTTTAGAGGCCACTAAAAGGGGCTAATCGAATTAATATGAGCAAACTTAATAAAAGACTACCCAATAATGCTACAGACAAAGTTTGGTGATCATCCATCAATTAGTTCTGTAGCAATAAACGTTTTAACGTATATCTATTTTTTATTTTAGCGGCCCCTAAAAGGGGCCAATCAAAATAAAATGAGTAAACTTGATAAAAGACTACCCAACACTGCTACAGACAAAGTTTGGTGATCATCCATCCATTAGTTCTGAAGATATTAACATTTAACGGTATTTCTATTTTAGCTTTAGCGGCCCCTAAAAGGGTCAAATCAAATTTATATATGCAAACTTGATACATCACTACGCAAGAATGCTACAGACAAAGTTTGGTGATCATCCATCCATTAGTTTTGTAGAAGAAGATGTTTAAAGGTTTTCAATATTTAGCCCTAGAGACCCCTAAAAGGGGCCAATCAAAATAATATTAGCAAACTTGATGGAAAACTACCCAAGAATGCTACAGACAAAGTTTGGTGATCATCCATCAATTAGTTCCGTAGAAATAGACGTTTAAAGGTTTTTCTATTTTAGCATTAGCGGCCCATAAAAGAGGCCAATCAAATTAATATGAGCAAACTTGATAAAAGACTACCCAAGAATGCTACAGACAAAGTTTGTGATCATCCATCAATTAGTTCTGTAGAAGATGTTTAAAGGATTTTCTATTTTTAGCTCTGCTGACCCCTAAAAGGGGCCAATTAGAATGACATGAGCAAATTAAAGTGAGACTGTCACAAGGATGCTACAGACCAAATTTGAAGTAAATCTGCTGAGTAGTTTCAGAGAAGAAGACGATTGTTGACGCATGACGACGGACGACGAACGCCGGAGCATGCCCCTTTTATACCAATAGCTCACCCTGAGCCTTCGGCTCTGGTGAGCTAAAAATGAAGACTTTGTGAT